GTCCCCCTTTCTCACAGCCCCTCTGCCTCTCCCCGCTGCAGGCAGCCACGCTCACAGCATGCGGGGAGGAGTCCGTGAAGCTGCCCACCGGCTCAGAGAGCAGCGAGGAGGAGGAAGAGGGGAAGCTGGACCTGTCTTCGACTAGGAGGCGAGGCTGGGGCAGCGGTGCATGCCCTGTGCCCACGATGCGGGAGTGGGGAGTGACAAGTGCTGCGAGGGGGAGCCCCGCCCCCGCCCCCCCCCCCCATGCCAGTGCTGGGGGTGACGCGTCCTGTCTGTGTCCTGCAGGCTGACGGATGAGGAACTCATGCGAGCGTGCGGGGGTCGCACGGCACACAAGTAAGTGGTGGGGGCTGCGCGGTTGGGTTCTCCCCTCCTGGCACAGGCTTTCGAGCAGGCTGGGGGCACGTTCCCTGCCAGGGAGGTGCCGGACCCCCGCTGCCCACGGTCGTTGCAGGGGTGCCCGTCACGGCCTGACTATGAGTGCCAAGCTGGCGCGCCTGGAGGAGCAGGAACGAGCTTTCCTGGCCACGTACCGGCACAAGGAGCGGCAGCGTGAGCCCCCAGAGAGCAGCAGCCCCCCAGGAGAGAGGCAGGAAAAAAAGAAGAAGAAAAAAAGGAAACAGTCCAGGGATGGAGCTGATCCCGAGGTGCTGCAGAGCCAGGAGCCAAGTGGAGAAGAGGAGGTGGCAGGAGAGGAAGGGAAGGTGACAAAGAGGAAGAAGAAGAAGCAGGAGGAGGAGGATGAAGAACAGCCAGTTGAGACAGAGAAGAAGAAGGAGAAGAAAAAGAAGAAGCAGAAGAAAAAGAAGGATGACAAAGAAGAGCCGGCTGAGACAGAGGTACCTCTAGAAGACACAGATGGGCCAGGCCAGGCTGGGCACAGCCCCAGGAAGAAGAAGAGGAAGAGGGAGCCAGAGTGATCAAGGGCCAAGGCTGCCATGCTGCGTAGCTGCCACTACCACCTGGCTGTGAGGGTCCCGATCCTGCCCGCTGTTGCTGATGGGTGCCCAAGGGTGCTCCGGGCTCTTCCCAGGTGGAGCTCAGCGCTGTGGCCCAGCTGTATGTTCACTGCCGTGGGACGCTGGCTGGTCTGGAGCTGGATCGAGCTTCATTTCCGTCCCCGAGCCTTCCCTCCGTCGGGGTGACCCCAGTTCCCACCAGGCCCTGGGACAGGGACCCGTTTGCCATGGGTCTGTCGCAGAGGGACACAAGGGGATGGACCCCACAGACTATTGACATTATTATTTTTTTTTTTTTAAGGGCACAAATAAATCTTTATTGCAGTGAAACTATCCTGAAGTGCAAAATATGTGGCAGACCCGATCGCGTCTACACCTAGAAGCACTCGGATTAGGTAGCAACCCCAAACAGAGCCAGCCTGGCAGCCACCCCGTCAGTCCCAAGCTCCGGGGGGGCTTTGGTCTGCAATGAACCTCGATCCCGCTGGGTAGGACTGGAGCCCACCGAGGTGCTGAGCATCTTTTAGCAGAGAGCTGCGGCTTTGGCAGAATTAAGCCCTGATCTGCTGTGCCAAAGCCTAGCCCAGCACCCCCAGCCCCTGCTGAGCCCCGGCCCTAGGTCAGCTGCAGGACGCAGTCCGTCTCAGGGTACGGCGGCAGGTTTAAAGCGTATTTCTCCTGGAGCGCGGCGGGCACAAACCTACCCCCGAGGAAGTGGTAGCGGCCAGTAAAATGCATTGCGGCCTTCTTGGGCGCCGTGAGCGAGATGAGCATGTCGGGCTGGAGACCGTCCGCCTTCCCCTTCTCCACGTCCCAG